GTTGATGTAATATAGCTATTTTATTTTCAATCGAGGGTTACTTTTGAAATTGTAAATCTTTTTAAAAAAATTGTAAATCACTCATTGTAAGCACTCAATACTCTGCAATGATTACAGACCATTCACTGGTGATAAAATCAAATCAATATTATGATTTTTCATATCTGTTACCCAATGATCAACAAAGAATTTCATATCACGTATAAGTTCGATGTAATCATACGCCTTTTTAGCACCAACACTTTGAACAATCAAAGCAACACGAGATTCGCCAATCAGGTTGAGTATTGTACACACTAGTGGACGTAATGAATTGGGAATTTTAGATGCAAGAAGTAAATTCGAATAAAGATTATTTAATTTTTCACCTTCTAAACCTTTAAGAAAATGTTTTAATCCATCAGAGGACAAGATAGAAATGTAAATTCGCATAGCTTCCGAGATATTTTTAGGTTTAAATTCAATAACTGTATGACCTAATTGTTTGAGAGCCTCTGCAGCTTGAAGAACCGCACGAATGCAAGCTGGTGAAGCTTTAAACCAATCATCTGTGGTATAATAACCAATACGAAGTTTTGTGTTACGATCACGATATTTCTCATCATTCCATGGTAACTCAACTAAATGTTTATCGTTGTGCCACATTTTCGGTTTCAAAAATGATTTCATAACGAGGACAAGATCATCTGTAGAATGTCCTAATGGTCCAACACTACCACGAATATTTCCTTCTCCTATTACATCTTTCAGGTGAGGTTTAGCGACCCCTAAATCTGTAATTCGGCCTGGCGTTGGTTTGAAACCATACACACCGCAAAAATGAGCTGGAATCCGAATTGAACCTCCTAAATCAGTCCCAATACCTAGTACTGAACCTCTAGCAGCTAACAGAGCGCCCTCACCACCAGAAGACCCACCACATGATCGATCAACATCCCATGGATTGTCCGTTCGTCCATATGTTAAATTATCGGTTTCGGGTAACATCATTGATTGAATTGTATTTGTTCGTACGAATGGAATCGCTCCTTGATCAATAAGTAATTGCAATACGAGACTATTTTGGTGAGATGGCTTAAAGTTTCTTGCTGTCAAACCCATTGAACTATCAGCTCCTATCTGGTGTATTTGATCTTTTACACTAATTGGAACGCCTAATAATAACAATTGATCGTCAGTCTTGTACATCGCCAAATCTTTTTCTTTGTCAAATTCTTTGGCTTTCTTAATAGCATCATCATAGAATTCTTCGGTAATGGCATTTATTTTTATTCCAATGTTTAATGCACGCAAACAAAATAGATGAACAACGTCGCTATATGTGAATAAATTTGTTTTAAAACCTTCTAACAGCTGTGTAGCTGTTAATTTATATATTTGATCATGTATTTCTTTAGACGGAAGAACAAAATCATTTTTTAATATATCTAATAGTGTTTGACGTTTTTGTTCTCGAGATGCTAATTTTTCCCTTGCTTGCGAATGAAAATCTTTTGTATGATATAGGCCACGTTTAACAGTTAACATATATTTCACAAAATAGATAAAGAATATAACTGCTAATGACCGAATAACATCGGCATAATTAATGAAAATCATGCTTAACTATTTCTTGTGTTGTTTAAATAAATACTAAAGTTGTTTTTTTTTATAATATGCAACTCAGGAAGGAAAGTATATATTTTCATTAACTATTCAATGATGACGTAAAAGCACGATCATAATGAACAAAAACTATATTAAAAAATGACTTTTTTGGTCGACATACTTGATGAGTGAAATCTATGCGATTAATCACTATACATAAAAATAAAGGTAAACGTATAAATATATATGTTTAAAAATCTACCATCGAACAAAACAGCAACCTTTGACTTACGTTTATTTATTAGGCAATTTGATATATCGTGATAATCGTGCATACATTACAGAAAAATAATGCTACGTTACAAGGTCATTTCTATATTTAGTAAGTGTGACCTGGTCGTATATGGTATAACTAACTAATGATTCTTCTTCTACAGTACTTTACAAAAGCAGAGACGCTGAAAAAGGTGAGAAAAAAGGTCACGATAATTAGTGGCTTCTAAATTTGTGTGATCATAGCTCTAACTAAAAGTTTATCACTTAGCCAGTTTAGGCCTCCTTGACTACATAGTTCATGAGGCATAAGTGTTGCACTTCTTTTCTGAAGAAGCTCCTGATTATTAGCAACCACTCACACTCATTTCACTTATTGTACACTCTTTTCACTTCATATATGTTTCCAAGCAAAATCAATGACATATTTGAGATTAGCAGACAATACTAGATTGAATAGCACACTTGAGAGTCGTTTTCAAAAAAAAAGATTTCATAGGAAGTTTTCTTTTTGGCTATAATCTTTCTGACACAATCTTGTCTACATCTTGAATCGCCATAGGTTTCAGTTATCATATTTTTTCATGATTATACGTTGGATACAGATTTTGTGGTAGAATAGATAATTCTAAATTCCTCAAGATCATGTCATCATATGTTTCAGTAGAGTCTACTCATTTCAACATATTTTCGAAACTACACAGTAGTTAACCTTCATAATTTGATTATGAATAGTCTGTAATCATTGCAGAGTATTGAGTGCTTACAATGAGTGATTTACAATTTTTTTAAAAAGATTTACAATTTCAAAAGTAACCCTCGATTGAAAATAAAATAGCTATATTACATCAACCATTAAGAGTCAACATTTTAAATTCATGCCGAAGATAGGAGGGAGCCCTGATTACATTTTGGTACGAAGAAAACGTTTACATGTCTCTTAGGACGGAGGTATTAACATTCTGCAGAAGAGAAGTGAAACGCTTATATCTCTCATGAACCATGCAATCAAGGAAGCCTAAACGGGATGAGTGATAAGCTTTCAGTTAGAGGTATGATCACACAAATTTAGAAGTCACTAGTTATCGTATCTTTTGAATCGCACACAGTAGCGTAGCCAGGGGGTGGATCTACCAAGACCTACTCCTTTGAAACCTGACTTACATTAGAAAGAAAGGAATAAAATATCAACTATCAACGACATCTGATTGTTTGCGAAAAAAGTGTAGAATAAGACTGTTGTGAGACAAACTCTTTTTTGATATAGTGAAAAAACTTCAGCTCTTACGGACTTGTAGCCAGATCAGTGGTAGACTACATAATTGCTACAAAACGTTTTAAATTTTTAAGCTAACCATCCAAATTTGTTGTATCTACACTGTTTTTGCGCTTTCGCTTAGCGTCTGTGCAGTGCCTCAAACTTTTAGTGTGCATCATTTTATTCTTCTTGTTGTTCATCCTTACATTTTTTTTTCCCCTTCTTTCCCTCCTATTTTTATTTTTTCTTGCTGTTTACATGTAATAGCTTATAACATTTACCATGTCATTTTCCTCTGATATAATGGTCTAGGCCACATCTGTGTAAAGTGACCATTCTTATTTCTCTCTTGAATAATAAAGTTTAAACTAACTAAACTAACTTCAGCTCACTCCTTTTAGAAAGTCCTGGCTACGCTACTGATTACATAGGTGTGCCTACTTTTAAGAAGTATCGTATTTCAGAGATAGAATGTGGACGAATGTTTTCTGAATAACTTTTAAAACGCAAGAGAATAGCACTTTGTGATTCCATCATATGCCCATAGTGAACAACATAATGTGGAATATTACGTAAATTTTTTTCAAAACGAATTTTTTTATAACTTGTTTCCACAATATTGTGCGATAGAACGAGTAATATTGATTAATAGTAAATAGTAATAAGTTTTAATTTGCAACTACATGTTTCTTTCCGCACTGCAGAATGCATATCAGCCATAATACTTCGAGATTAACTGAATCGTACACTTTTTCTAGATCATTAAAACACATATATTTAAAGGTTTATTGTACTGTTGTAACATCTTTTCATATTTCATACTAATCATCACTATAAATGTTTAATTTATTGCTGATGTTTTGACCAATACCCTGCTTGTCGTTCAAGTGGGTTTTGATCAACTTTTCTTTGAATTTGGTTTAACATAATATGAGTTAGAACTTTACTTCTCACTAACCAGTTGAGATCTGGCTTAATAGTTGATAAACGACGTTAAAAATTTATCATGAATGCAGGTATTTTTAATACTGTTGTAATCTCTCCTATTCTCATTTATATTTTCTTCGAATGAGTAAAGATTCCTATACTTCATAAGAAAGTCGTTCACATACTTGGGTGTATCGCTCTAAAAATAATTTAATATACTCCTTCACAATATCTAATATTTCATTGATTGGATATTTTTTACGATACTTCTTGTTGCTGTTTTCATTAAAACATTTGCCACTAAATTCACGTATATATTTAATGAACTTGGCATATATGTCATCCATCATCATATTATTTGAAAACTCAATGATATATTTGTGTTTAATCTATTAAAATTGTATTGATCCGCTGGGTGTATCTCAATCAATAACATCACGAGCTATCTAATTCGATTGTATTTCAACTCTTAAAATATCCCATCTTGATACTTTATCAATCTCTCTTTTAAATACATTTTAACCTTTTTTCTATCTGATAGATTTACATAATAGCATATTAGAACTTTTTTACATCTATGTTGCATATGCGTTTGTAGCTACACTGCTTGTCCATCAGTTGCTTCTGTGTTATTTTGTATTGAGATACTCGTATGAATAACTGAATATTCTGCTAATTGAGCAACACCAGAATCATACATATTATATCAGTTTCAATCAATATAGGATACTCTGCAACTAACTTAATTTACGTTTTGCTTCTTTATAATACCAACACGCATTACACGAACCAAAGTTTTATGTATGTTTACAAAAAATTTTGATCTTTTCACGTAGCCTTAAAAGTTTAATGTCCTGTTCATAGAGAGAGTTAGTCTAAAAACAATACAAAAGTTGACGTAGCAGTTCAGAGGTGCTTTTCAATTCATTAAAGTTTCCCCTTCCTAAAATATCTTATACACACAGTAAAACAAAAAAGTAAACAAATAAAAGATATTCTTGAAAAATTCTTTTTATTAAAAATAAAAAACAATATCAACACAGTAATCAAGTTTCTTACTGTTCGTTAAATTTTTGGTGGATCTCTTAATGTTTTTGATGCATCAAACGAAGAAAAACAATAAAAACAAACATCTCCATTGTGAACAAGTGCAACGAGAACTGATACATTTGAACAATAAAACATAATTTCATCTAATTGATTACTTAAGTCATTTTCATTACCATCTAATACAAGTAAACGATAAGCTGGTATGCCGGGCAATGTTTTACGAAAATGTTTATTTGGATAATAAATATCATAGGTTAATGACGATAGAGAAGGAGTTCGTGGTAGTGATGATTGTGCTTGTGCTTGTAATGTGTCAGAATGAATAAATGATGATAAACGTTCACATATAGTCTGATGTGTTTTACAGTCAGATAATCTCATTAATGGTTCATCATTAGTAGAATATAAAAGATCAAATTGTGTCTTTGTTTTTAAATATTGACATATGGGAATATCTACATCCATTACCTTCTCATAAAATTGTTTTGGTAGCCAATGTGGTAGTACACGTGATTTCGTCCAACTACAATCATCTATAGACCAATTTAAACGTTTTTTATTATTTATCAGATTCGTTTCATCATAGTCATAACCAACAAACCAATGACGCTCATTTTTATCGTTCATTTCATCGTTCATAGATTCTTCTATTTGGCTAGAAGAATTGTTTGTATCGTTGTCTATAATGATGAAAGATGAATAAACAGACGAAAAGGAGTTGGTGAACGTTAGATACTTGTCACACACTTCTTGTAAGAAACGCTAAAAAATCCCCGAATAAACTTTAAATACTCTTTATAACTACACTGAAATGCACTATGCTAAATGTTTCTCTTTCTTCTATCTCTTTCTTCTAGCTATTATCGAATAAAAAAATAATGAAGGTCAGACAGAATCATGTTTTTTTGAAGACGTACGAGTACGACCAGATAAAAAGAAGTTTGACGTTTAATACTTTTTCAGAGCTGATGAATAAACAACATAACTAACCTTCATGATAATTAGTATTTATGTTCAAAATGGATATATGTTCATCCATTTCATCCCGTTTTCGTTTTATGCCAACTGCTGTTGTTTTTATTCGTTCATGTTGCTGTTCCTGCTGTTGTTGTTGATGTCTTCGTATAATAAATCCTAATCTAGCCAGATAAGAAAAAGTTTGTACATGTTTTAATGTTAACTGATCATTCAACCAAAAATTATAAGCTTCTTCCATTGATATTGGAATATTATCCTCTTCATTGAATACTTGTAATATAGAGCATTGCATCAGAAATAGAGCTTCTTCAGGATATAAATGTAATTTACTATTTACAATTGTGCCTAATAGTGACCAACATTTTCCATGCATTACTTTAATTTCAATCATATTCAGTTTTGATTTCCAATAACCGATTGATAACTGTTTTTTGATACATACGTAACGTTTACACCTTAAATTATAGCTCTCTTCATACAGCCTCTCCAAATCGGTTACGCGGTGATTGTGACGTAACAACTCAATGAGATCAATTCGAGCCATTTATTTCTAAACCAAAATGCATCAAATGCAGTTTATATCGGCTTACAGTGGCCGTGGCTATTTTTTATGTAAATCGAAAATGAAAAAAGATAGAGGTGTGTTTACCATTTTGAAGCGACACATCATTCCATAAAGAAGAAAAATCTTTTTTAAAAGTAGAGTGCCAGAGAATATCTAGAAAATTGTTTCGTATCCAAAAAAGTTCATACGGGACTATTTTCGTTTTTTTCCATGAGTGGATGGATAGTTCAGAGTATCCTAAATGGAAATCATCTGAACTTTTCAGTTTTTATAGTTTACGTGTGACATTGGGTTTTTTAGGAGATACAACATCGCCTTCTGATGCTTTCTGGCAGACTCAGAAATTGATTGAGTTATAAATTATCGGTCATACTGAATGTCGTAATAATATATGTTTTTTGATGAAGTTTAGAAAATTAGTGAAAACTGTACTGTCTCCGCTAGATCCTGGAATTTGATAAAAGTTTTAACAATCACAAGCAATTTTCCGAAGTGAGGAAGTTTTGTTTACTAATCATGGGCGCAGAATCAGAAAGAAATGGAAAAAACTGAGCAGAAAATAAAGAATAAAAACTGTTATCGTATGAGAAGATTGTTGTACTTTTTTGAAAGACATGCATAGACAAAACATAGTTTTCTTATTTTATTAAAACTACAGTTGAAAAAGAAATATGAAACACAAAAGAAGAAAATATATATTTACAGTAAATTTGTGCAAAACATAAGAAATAATTGAAAAAATCATCAAGAATCTTGTAGATTTGGTGATTGAGCTTCCATTTCTTCAGGTGATGCCTCACCACCTTCACTTTCCTCTTCGACATCATCTCCTTCTTCGCCATCTTCCTCTGGATGATTTTCCAGCTCCGCTTTGCCATGAAATGGTAAATTAATCCCTAAAACAATTAGAATTATTTTGGTTCACGCAACTAAATTATTACTCATTTGTAGTTGAAAACAGAAACTGCAACTAAATCTTAATTAATCTTTTGATAGTATAAACATTATTCTGTCTGATAGCATGAAGTATCCTCTACAAAATAATAGTACACCCAGCCCTCCACGAATATTTGTTTAGAAGATACAAACTTTTTAAAGTTTATGGCTTTATTCTAAAAAGTTGTTTGTTAACTTCTGAAAACTCATTCTTTATTATCCCGAACATGAAAACTTCTTCAGTCTTGTAAAGAAAGGAGTTCTCTATAAAAATGAGCGATATATGATTAAAGTTTAATTTAGGACTTTTTTCATGAAAATGAATGAAAATTCACAAGCGGAAACAAAATTACTGTCCTGGAATATCATTCCAGATACTTGTGGCAAAAATTCTCAGCTCGATCGGAGTACATTTCGCCGTCGTCATGACGCAAACTGCAGTTTTCTAGAAGAAAAACATGACACAAAGTTTTTGACAAAAATATACTGATTTTCAATTTCAGTGTTCTATCTGAAGTATAAATTTGAACTCAATCGGATGTTTACTTCTACCTTTATCAACAAGGTGGAAAAAGAGAGAGGATATTCCTTCAGCAAATTAAAAGGACGGGGATCCATTAGAGGGAAAATCGGTCCACTCGGAGTTTTTCATTTTCAATGACTAAATTTATTAGAAAAGATACGTTTCTATTATCCTCTGTCATTCTTGAGCGAAAAAAGTAAAAAATAGGTAAACACCATCCTGCCGCCGCATTCAACTAGTAATTTAATTATTTCTCTTGACTAAACTCGTAGATAAGATTCATTCGACCATTGATCGATAGATGATAAAAAACTGAGTTGAAAGATATCCAAATCATATCTTCACTG